CTTTCAGCCAACATCTCATCAGGAGACAATCGTTGGATTAGCGAAAAGAATATTAACGATATTGAAGAGCAAAAAAAAAAAAAGGGGAAACACTAAAAAATAACAAACAAGTATATACTTGTAACGAGGGAGGGATCGTGTAAATAAATTAGCGAGGACAGTTAAAATAAAATATCCCCAACAGATTCAGAGACCTTATAAATTCTTTCTGCCGGCAGAGAGAAGGTTTTCTTAATCCTATACAGACCGATTCCAAAATCTTCAAATGATTATTGGAATCGGCTGTATGAATAATTTTAAACCACTCTTTTTTTATACAACTTGGCACAAGCTATATTCTCAACTAAATGTTGAGCAATAGCCGATTCCATATTCATGGGGGGGAAGATAGCATATTCTATCTATCTTACCAAGTCGTATTTTGGAAGGTACGTGCTGATTAATTCTAGTTTCCAAATGCAAGGTTGTACGCCCCACATAACCAGCAGCACACTGGCAATTAAATTCATATACTAAATTACTCAATTTGATGTAGGGCAATATATCCTTGCGAAAAATATACGGAAACGCAGACCTAGTTTGAAAAATGCTACGTAAAGCAACTGATGGGAAACAAACCGGGAACCGACTTGCTAACCTGCTTAATTAAGCCCTGACCCTATCCCCAATTCAGGGAATCTTCAAATAAACCGGACATTTAGAAGGCCCTGGATTTTAGGGAATGAAATTCCTAGTCTTCTTACTAATATATAGTCAATAAGGGCCTCCGGATAGCCGTTACTAAGGAAAATCTCCCTATGTTCCCAAATTCACGGTCCAATCTAATAGGAGAACACACTTTAAGCGCTCTATACACCAAGGTTTTAAACAAGATTAATTTTCCTTGATGCAGGAGCAAATGAACGCCAATTCAAATAAAGTCCCGTAAAGGTGGGTTTACGATAGATGCTAGTAATAAAACCACCTCTACTGCCTTCAACAAAAACGTCCAAAAAGGCAGACAGTTGTCCTTCTCCCCTTCCATAGTGAAAGACAAACCATTGTGTAAGGAGTTGAGCTCATTAAAGAACTCAACAGCCTCACTTTCATTAGAGAAATTTGCAAAAGTGTCATCGACATATCTAACGTAAACAAACGGTTTAGACACTTTGCCGAAAAAAACTAACACCTCATGGTAGCCCACAAAATATATTAGCCAATGCAGGGCCAAGGGGACTGCCCATCTGGACCCCATCCACTTGACTATACATAATATTGTCAAAACTGAACTCCACCGAACTAGTACATAGTATCATGAGTTCTATAAATATATCCTTAGGAAAAAGGAGGTGGAGCAATGTTACCTTCTGTATAAAAAAAGTCTGCACAGATATCAATAGTTTTCCCTCAATGGTACATTGGTAAATAGACTGGACACATCAAAAGAAAACATAAAAATCAGTATCAGGGCAAGACTGTATGGCCTGTAGGCGTTCAACAAACGTGAACGAATCAGGTATACAATGCTTAGCAAAAAATGTTTGGACCGGTTGTATGACTGCAGAAGCCATTGAGCCAGAGAATGTTGGGATGAACCAATCATTGAAAGTATTGGTCTCAATGGAACGTCTTTCTTATGAACTTTAGGAAGACCATAAAGCCTTGGTCTAATTATAACCAGAAGGTCTAATCCTGTCATAAGTCTCCTTAGAAAACATAACCTTTTCTAAACAAGTATAATAGACGTTTCTGAATTTTAATTTCATTTCTGTACGTGTTGTCACAAGTTTCAACTGGACCAATTTTTTTGAACTTTTCTGAATCATTCAAAATAATCAACATCTTTTGGATGTAATCTACCCGGTCCAGTAGAACAACACCAGCACCAACACAATATATATATATTGTGTATTTAGACATCAGTCCTTCTTTCATGCATGCTTCATTAAATAAGACAGACAAGGTGCTTTGATTAAGTTTTTTTATATAATTTTTCATATAATCTTATAATTTTTTTTTTTTTCAGTAGATAAATTATACAAAAAATGTTCAAAAGATATATTTTTCCGAACGCTTTCGGCTATACATTTAGCCATTTTCAAAGATGAAATATATTAACTTTTAACTGGAAATACATTGTTTTATGTATGTATTTATCATATTCTATAATACTAAATATATACATACTATAAGATCATATGAAAAATGATATAAAACTTTATCAAAACACCTTGTCTGTCATATTTAATGAAGCTTGCATATACAGGGTGTCCATAAAGTTCGTGTGCACTTTAAAAAATTTATAACTTTATTTGTATTTGCGATAGAAATAATTTGTAAAAAGGATTAGTAAGAAGTAAATCTATATTTTTTAAGGTTTTATTGAAATTTTATTTAAGTTTCCACATGTCCTCCATCATTAGCAATACAAAGGGTAATACGATTTTGCAGATCACGGAAAACATTTTCCAACTGATTTACAGTAATGCCTGAAACCACATTAGTTATTTTAGCTATACTTAAAACTAGGTACATTAAACTTTATAACATTTTTTACAGATTATTTCTATCGCAAATACAAATAAAGTTATGATTTTTTTAAGTGCACACGAATTTTATGGACATCCTGCATATATATATATATGTGTGTGTGTAAAATTCAGTGTATTTTCAAAATAATTTTTACTCTTGTTCAACTTAGGAATACAGAAAAAAATGTTATTCAGTGAACCCCTCACTATGGGTTAAATAGCAGGGCAGAATGGGGATGCACCCATACACTGTTGTATCATCTGCATAAATATTTACTAAAGAACTGATTACGTTTTTCGACAGATCCTTAATATTAAGAAAGAGTAAAAGACCAAGAAGTTAGGTTTGGCCTATTTTGTTTCATGGCATCTTAGCCTCAATGGTTTATTTAATGCCAACAAGATTTTTTTAGAATATGTGCATATGAATAAAACATGTATTCTTTGTAAGACAGGTTTCATTAAGGTATTTTTTGCAAAGAGGGTTTTTTGTCAAGACTCAAATGCATTACTGATAATAGTTTTTATTTTTTAAAATGTCTTGCTGGTATTTTTACTATAAAATCCGTTTTCACACTTTCACACTATTTTGACCTAATTTTGGGAGTCAACCATTTGCCCATACAGATGCTACTACACCGGATCAGGAGGGACCTGTGAACAACGGCAATTGAGAGGTGGTCTCCACGCACCTCAAAACCTTCTGATCATCTAATAAATTTTGATGTATTTATCATCACCGAAGTTTGGTGTGCGGCGTATTATGTATGAACAATTTCGGTATTTATCATATAAATATATCGAGGAAATTTTAGCTACATCGGTTGGTTTTATTGTGACTTGCGTAATACAATCAGCCAGTGTGTTTAGCAGTGATATTAATTGGTGACTAGTTGTATATGAAGAAACAGGTGCACTCACTTAATAAACGCGCACGAATCCTTCTCATTCGAAACGCGTCCCTCGGGAACGCCGAGTTTAGTCGAAGGAGAAATAACTACCGCTGATGTCAACTTTAAAACCCGGACACCGCACCCTGGATAAACTGAATAAACGAACGTTACCATATGCTGTGGTACCGTTTTTAATTCTTTCTTCTTTTTTCTTTTTTTTCAATTAATTCCAGATCTGTTTGCGCCCTTCGACCTTGATTTGATTATTATTGCTTCATATTTCTTTTCTCTATCTCTTTCTTGTTATGCTTTTTTTCTTTCTTTTTGATTTCAGTCCTTTTTTTTTTCATTCTTTGATTTAATAATTTTTGTCTTCTATTACAGCGAATATGTTCGTTCTTTTTCGCTTTCAATCATTTTCTTCATTTTTTTAAACTTTTTATTTTTATTTTTTGTACTTTAAATATTTTTCATAAACTTTTAAAATTAATTTAATTTTTTCCCCCTTACCAAATAATTTAATCATTTATTTTATTTTATATTATTTATTTATTTTGCTTTTACTCGATTTTTTTAAATTCTTCATGGAATTATTTTTCTTCTTTTCACGGCTTTTTTTCTCAAATTCCTTTCTTTCTTCGTTTATATTTGCTTTATTTTATTTTTTTTTATTTTATTATTTTATTTTTTCATTTTTCATTGCTAGTTTTTTTTTCGTTTTGAATTTTGAAATATTTTACTTTCGTTTTTCTATAAATTTTATTCTAGGATTTTCCTCTATAACATTGAATGATTTTAACTTTAACATTTTTATCTTTCCTTTTCATTTTTTATACCTTTTTTATTATTTCTTTCTTCTTGTTTGCCTTAAAATATTGCCGTTATTTTATCTTCTTTTTCTTTCCTTTTTTACTATCTTTTATCTTTCTGGCTTTTTTTACCATATTTATCTTCTTTCTCTCTTTCTTTTTACCATCTTTTATCTTCTTTTTCTTTCTTTCTTTTTACCATCTTTTATCTTTCTTTCTTTTTACATATCTTCTTTTCTTTCTTTTTACCATATTTTATATTCTTTCTTTCTTTTTACAGATTTTTTATCTTCTTTTTTTCGTTTTTAACATCTTTCTTTCTTTCTTTTTACAGATATTTATCTTATTTTTTTAAAACATTTTTTTTTTATCATTAAAATTTTATATTTTTTTCTTTTTTTTTTTGTTTTTTTTCTTCTTTCTTCTTTTTCCTTTTTACAGATCTTTTCTTTTCTTTTTTTACGATAGTTTCTTTTTTTCTTTCTTTTTACAGATCTTTTATCTTCTTTTTCTTTCTTTTTTCACCATCTTTTATCTTCTTTCTTTCTTTCTATTTTATTATTCTTTATCCCCTTTTTCTTCTTTGCTCACATTTTATTTTCTTTTTTCTTTCTTTTCATTTTGCTGCCACTTTTGTTTCTTGTTTTTTGCATCACCTTATTCATTTATCTTTCAGTATTTATTCTTTCCTTTCTTTAAATTCCATTTCTAATCTTCCATTATTTCCATTTCTTCTTTTCTTTCATCTCGTTCCGCTTTTTCTTTCTCGCTTTTTCCCCCCTAATTAGTACTGATTTTGTTATTCTTTCAACATGCATAAAGTTTTAAATATTGACAAATGCGCCCCTTCTTAAAAACATGAACACATGTGTCAGACTTACGACATGCACCAGTTTCTTTCTATCTATCTACATCAATATGTTCCTTTCTCTATATATCTCGAGCTATTTAATTATACATAATGCTATATATATATATATATATATATATATATATATATATATATTAAGAAATGGACAAAGTCCGACAATTTATTTATTAAAGACATTTTTTATGTTTAACGTTCTTTTTTATAGATACAAGTATTTAAGTAAATGCTCTGTTTATAATAAACAGTATTAAATAACATTTACCGGCCTGAATGTCCGAGAAATTTTCATAGAAAATATTCGTCCTTTGACAGGATTCGAACCTGCATCCTATACGGAACCGTCATTTACGCTGACGTGCCTTACCGATCGGCCACAAAGGAGCGTTCGGTAAACCAAGGTCGAATTTATATATATATATATGTCTATATTTCTGAATCGGAAGTATTAAATACATTATTTTCATTATTCAGACTATTGTCCTCATCTTTGTCGCCATATTTATTACAACGTTTCGGTCGTTGTACGCTCCGGCCTTCTTCAGGTGGTTGAAATGTTGACCTGAACCCTTTATTTCGCTCACTTTCTCTAGACTGTTCTATTTCCACGTATATGTTTAATGGATGTCAGTTATCTTTTTTAATTTCTTGTTTTAAAAAATCCACTGCCTTAACCGGGTATTGAACTCACACTCTTTTAGAAATACTGGATCTAACTAACGCCTTTATCCACTGTGCGTTATTAAGATCCAGTGACAGTTCAATATCCGGTTAAGGCAATGGAGAACTTTCAGAGAGCTAAATAAAAAAAGGAGATAACTGAAAATTTTTTTCATCAAATTCTGGTAGGTAAAAATTTTTTTCTGGGTCCAAACCAGAGACCTAAGTTGAGAAATGGCATCATGACATTTTCCACTGAGCAAATAAAAAGGAAAAAAAGAGAAAGAAAATATTTTACATAGACAAAGCCGTTCGTAAGGTGTGGTCTGTACTCGTGGGAACAATGTTTTATATTTCTTTAAGGCATGGGCTTCCTGGGATCCCTTCAATGAGTCTAGTGGAATCTTTTCCAGTCAATCTGAGGGCTCCAACTACAACAGAGATTGTTGATGTTCTCATGTACCACATTTTTGATATTTAGATTTATTTATTATTATTATTATTATTATTATTATTATTATTATTATTATTATTATTATTTAAATGATCAATAGACCAGATAGATTCATGCTAAAAAAATGTTAAAAATCAGAATTTTCGAAGACAAATTGTGGAGAGACACGATCGCCAAGGTCCTGAAGGGACACGGCACATAGAAGAAGAAGGTTTTTTTGTAATTTAAAAAAAAATCTAACCAAGTTAAGAGGCTCCCTGAATAGAAAAATTCGTACAAAAATCAGCTTTCACACTTGTTGTTATGACTTGCAATTCATCTGTTGGTATTTCAATGGCGTCTTCCAATCTTGCTCTTTTTTTACTCGTAATTTCTGTCTTCTTTTTCTTTTCCGTTTTTTGTATTTTCATTCACTGAAACCATTCATTCACATATCCATCTCTCCCTACCCTCCCCACTTTCTCCCAATTACTCTTTCTTTTCTTTTTTTTCTTCTTTTTTTTCATTTCAAGGAACATTTAACTTGTTTTTTTCTCCATATTTTTTTCACTATTTTCAGTAAATATTTTTCATATTTTAATTTTTTACGTTGTTTTTTTTTTTCAATCTGTCCGCTTTTGTCGGTGTTTTTTCTAAATAAAAGAAACAAAAACAAAAGAAAGAAAAAAGCGCAAAAGAGTAAATACATTTGTTCCTTTATGTGTTACATGCAGTTATCGTGACGCCGGGGACTGGAAATCCTTTAAAAATATTGAGCGCTGACGGTTCATAAAAATATGATAGGATCAAGTAGTAACCAAAAACACTTACAGCACTGTTGCAAGTGTCTGTTGGATTTTAGTTTTTGGTAAAAGTCACAAGTAGCATGGGGCGAAAGCTGAATAATGTGGGGGCGTGATGGATACGGCTGCCAGGTTTAGGTCATCCGATATTTTACAAAAAAAAAAGTTACGCGGAGAATGAACAGCTCGTTGCCTTTTTGAATGGAAGGCTCACAAATTAAAATTATGTCTCCCTTCCGACTTAGTAACTCACCGAAAGAGTGTCAGTTCCCGCATGCGCCGTAAGGCACAACTAGTTGTGAAGTTACATCTCGTTCTGCAAGCGTTTATCGAGATATTCAAAATGACTGTAAACGTTTTGGTTAGACTTCATATTCATATATATATATATATATGTGTGTGTGTGTGTGTGTGTGTGTGTGTGTGTGGTAAGGTAAAATATATAATCCAAATGAATCCTAGTAAAATGAAAATTGCCCATATATGGTAAAAAATTTGTTTTGATTATTAAATAATATATATATATATATATATATATATATATATATATATATATATATATATATGTATGTGTGTGTGTGTATTTAGGCAAAAAAAATTCTCTTTTTAGCCATTTTGGATTGAATAAATTACAGACATTATGCCTGCTAATTTTAATAAAATCTGTTCATACTCACGAATAACCTTCCATGTATTAATGTTAAAGGATAAGAGAAATGTGCTAGAGTTGTTTAAATTTCTTTTATTTTCATTTCCCAAGTACTTTCGATCTTCTTCCAAGATCATCTTCAGTGGTGCTAGTAGTACAAAACTCTATGTTGTTCAGGGATACAAGTATTTATACAAAGTTATACGTTGTTATCCATTACCGTATTTATATCGAAATCCAGGTAGACAGTGACCGGCCACGACTACTAGTTTTATTTTAGTTTCATTTCTTATGGCATCGAGCATCTTTTTTCGCCAGTAAGCAGCTTTTGAGGAGACTCTTTTTAGGGCTAATCATCCTTTTCTAATATTCTAAATGCTCTGACGTATCTTTAGTGGCCCGGTTCAGTAGAGTACTTTTTTTCACTTGTGTCATTGAGCACTTTTCTTTGCCATACCGACAAGACTTTTATTTTTTAGTTTTCGAATAGTTTTGATCTTGACCGAATGGTTTACGATGGCTTCGGTTGGTCCGCCATATTGAACTGCATACTACAGACACTGGCCGCCTTAACATTTGCGTGCAAACGCATAAAACTAGCAGCCGTCTTTGAAAGTCAATAATCCTACCCGGAATTTGACTTTATATATATATATATATATATATATATATATATATATATATATATATATAAATTAAAGAAAAGAACAGTAAGATATATAATCCAATGTTCTTATTAATATTTTTTATTTTTACAAAACTGTGCTCAATGTAAATTTACAGAGCATAAATATTATAAATTAACTGATTTAAAATGTTTTTTCGCTACACAATAATAACCGTGTTTCAAAAACTGAAGCTAAAAACTTCAAATTTAATTATATAATTAAATTAAAAGCTTTAGTTCTGTTTCATCTTCAAGAGAATTTTGGAATAACTCATTTTTAAATTTACTGAGTTTTAAACGCACATATAAATTCATAATTTCCTGTTTCCAAGGATACAGAGAAATCCAATCATTAAAACAGGGGCGGTAACGTGTTCATTTTTATTAACTATTGTTGTATCAATTATGAGTTACGTTCGAACTTAACCTCTTTTTCGAATGTAACTCATAATTGATACAACAATATATATATATATATAGGGTGGGCCAAAAGTTTCCATACGGATGGAACTCTGTGAATGGACATTAACGAAAATAAACGAGGATGCAAACTTTTCAACTAAGATTTTGTTTACTGATGAAACAAATTTTTACGTCAATTGGTGTAAGGAGAACCCTATCTGCGACAAAGATGCAAGGTGCCGGTAAATTGACAGTGTGGGCCTTGATATGTGGGGGTGGCAGAATTACTGGACCAATTTTTGTCAGTGAAAATCTTAATGTAGAAAGGTATCTTAACATGTTACAAGAGGAAATTCTCCCTTCCCTGCTAAACGAGGAAAATGACTAGCCAGTTAGTTTACTTGCAGCAAGATGAAGCTCCACCTCATTAGGGTCATCAAGTGAATTGGTATTTGGATCAGCAGTTTCGATTGGTCGGCATGGTCCTTTGGAATGGCCTCCAAGATCCACAGATATCTCCTGTCTTGTGTTCTATCTTTAGAGGGCACTTGAAGGTCATGGTTTATCAGGTGAAAATACGAGACATAAATCATCTCAAGGAACGTAACACCAACACCATTACATGCATAACTTCAACACTGCTAATGCGTGTTCATCAACAGTGTAAAACTTATTAATATGTTTCCAAAACAATGGTGATCATATAGAGCGCATTATATAAATATATTGTCCAACATAAAATGGTTATTTTTCTATGTATGGAAACATATAAAGCCCACCGTATATATATATATATATATATATATATATATATATATATATATATATATATATATATACATAATATTAGTGGAAAATATACATACATATGCAAAATATATATAAAAAAAAAAAAAAAATACCCATACATGTATATTTTCAGAAAAATTTTTCCAAGAGGAAGAATCCAGGTAGAACTCAATGTCTAATTTAGATATTGCTAAATAAGATAATTTAAGGCTAAACACTAATATTCCATGGTCATAATTTATTCCATTGTAATCATAAATACAGTCAAATCATTGAAATTTTTAATTTTAGGTCAGATGATTTGATCGTTTTTACGATTCCAATGGAATAAATTATGAATTATTAAAAACTAAATTTTATTATATATATATATATATATATATATATATATATATATATATATATATATAAATAAAAAAAAATAAATTATAATAAAATTGAACAAAATAAACTATGAAATTTCCACAAATATTCTTAAATACCTTTAATTGATAACAGAAGCCATTGGTTTATACCA